ATATACATATATCTGTATATTTAATTACATACATACATTTATTTAGTTATATATATTTTTTATCTTTTTTGTATTTTTTCATTTATTATTACAAATAATAAGATATAGGCAAAATAGGTAATTTGATCAAATATACAGCCATACTATCTTATCAATTCAAATAAAAATAACTGTTATTATCATAATGCACAATCTTTCCAAATATGGTATAATTTTGTCATTACCGTACAATACCATATATTAATGAATCATCTTAAAAGCCATCCAAACACACCCTACGAGGACCAGTAGTCTTCATTTGTACAATGCTAAAGAATGTCATTTGGACATATGAGGAAGATTGTTGGATTGCAGAAATGTACTTGTTGGCATATTTGCACATTTTGATGTGTCTTAGATCTCTAAATATATGTTTCTTTATATCCTTCAAGTATGCAAATTCAAATACTTGAACCTTCATAGCATTCCAAATCTTGGGCTTGGGATATGCTTTTTAGGTGAAAGTATCTACTTATTTCTAGTTAACAGTTCATCCATAATCCTTAGACTAGATTTGAAAACTTGAAATTAATAGTCTTCGTTGTTGTGCTCTATGTTGGCTGTATTCATCAATTATAGCATTTTAAGATGTGCATCAGGGTTTATTCTATCATTTTTAGAGGGCACATGTTAGAAACGAGATTGCCTGATTTAAGGCTAAAGTCATTGTTGCCTTTTTATTGTTAGACCCTCTAATATATATTTTTTATTCTTTTTTTGCAGAATCGGTTACTTGCAATGAACTACATAAACGAAGGACATGATGATAAACTTTTTGAGGCTCACAGGTTTCCACTAACTCCTACACTGGCCACATTTAGTTTTAGTTTGTTGTCAAAATGTATTTTCATGCATCGTATACATCTTCTACATAAAATGCTGCAGAATTATTAAATCAAACCTTATAAGAGGTGCTTGTTCCTACCTCGCCATTACGATCTCTTCTTGGATAATGTTGTATGCGTGATAGCATATGATCCTTAATAACCACCAGCCTCTCTATTTATGGAAGATGAAAGATTGCTATTGGACACTCATATGCTTGACATTGCTTGTGTGTGCATGTGGCCATGCTTGTGTTTGGTGCCCATGCACATGTTCTGTTCTGTACAAATTGTGGATCTGCCAATCTCAGGATTATAGTTTAGATGAACGCTGTGTGTGTTTCAACTCAAGTTTTGTCTGTATTTATCAATATTCCCTGTCAGTTCTCCCATATCTTCTTCCTGATGTCCTTGAGATTTATATGACACCACAGTTACAGGTATTTTTTCTTTGAATTTTTTCTTTTCACTGATAGCATATTCCAAAGTACTCAGTTAACCATGGTGGTTAACTTATTTCCTTGCATTGTTTCTTCAACATGCTCATGCACCAGTATCTTTAAAATTTTAACATAAGTATATTTTCTTTCCAACATGTTGCAATTTCTTCAAAACTAGAATCTCTATTAATTTTATTATAGCTTTTTTGCAATCAAAAAGCAGTTCCAGAATTATGTTTAATTTATTAAAAATCTATTTTTAAAATGAGTTTTGAGTTGTTGGAGAATTCGTCATTCTTGTATTATAGAAAATTTCCTCACTTTCATTCTGCACGAGGATGATAGTATTGGCTCTTTCGATGCTTTTTGAACTTTGTATTTCTGATGCGTTGAATAAAGACCTTTCTTAACCTGCAGAAGCTGAAATTCTCTTTTTCCCCCTTTTTGGTTTATTTTCGTTTTACTTTTTTCACCAAAAAGAATTTTGGGCTCTGGTCAGTGATGCTTTTGGTGAAAATGCCTTTTTTTTTTGGGGTTGAAGAATCAAATGTGTTCATTTCTTTAAATCGATCTTTTTGTTTTATACATTTGTAATTAGTAGTATGTTATAAGTTCCATTTACTGATTTTTTTTGAAACTAAAAGATTAAGTATATTCAAAAAGCACGAGAGAGTGCAACTCATATATAATACTTAGAAATCTATCAGGATGTCTATTAGGTCTCTGACATCTTTGCTAGAATAAGGCCGGTAACTCCTTAACAAAAAATTGAGGGTGTGGAATCAGGAATCCTTAAATCTATCAAAATTAGATTCGATGCCTGAAAAGTGCTTTTGTTCCTCTCTTTCCATATGACCCAAAAGGTAGACAGTGGGATAAGTCTTAAGCTCTTATTCCCATGAATATCTATCCAAGAACATACCTCCTTCACAGAACCAGTTATTACCTAATTCGACCCGAAACACCATGAGCAACAAATTCCACAGCTAATGTGTGGGTGTGCACCACGAAAGAATATTATTACAATTCTGCTTCTGTCTTGCACAAGTAGCAACCATTCATTAGAACTTTTTCCTTCCTTATAAGCTTGCCCAAAGTTGGAGTGCATTCCTTAATAGCTTCGCAAGTGAAGAAAGCTATCCTTGGGGTTGCTTTTATTTTCTAACTCAGCCTAGCAGGAAAATCATCACCCTTCACCCCACCACAATTCAGATAGCCGTAATAGGACTTCAAAGAGAAAACACCTGGAGAATTCAACTTCAAACATTGCTTATCCAACAGAGTCATCCTTTTTGTGAATGAAAGCATTTCTATTAAATTCATAAACTCAGAGATCTCCCAATATTTAAGTTTCTGTTCAACTCTATCCACCATACCTTGTTGTGCGCTAGCCCACCAGGGATTCCTTTACAATAGTATGCTTCTTGCATGCAACTGTGTAAATATTAGAAAATTGATGACATAAATCTCCATCTTGCATCCAACAACCCTCCAACTCTCTCTCTTTTCCCTGACATCACACTTCACCAAATGTACTTCTGAAAGTTGTCCTCTACATATTGATTCTCTTCCACAACCCCACCCCTTGCGGAACCCTAGGAATTTCAGAGAACCATCTTTGACCATCCAACCCACGTCTCACCTATTACCCTCCATAAACTCCCTTGCTCTATCATGAATCTTCAGAACCACTTCCCTTGGAGAGCTCTATTAAAATCCGCCAGAGATCTCAAGCCTAATCAGCCCTCTGTAGAGGTTGCTTCACTCTGTCCTAGGCCACTAGTGATATCTTCTTTTCTCCACATTGTCACCCCATAGGAAGTTGCATTTGATTTTCTCCAATCTTTTGGGTAGTGTGGAGAGAAAGAAATAGACGAGCTTTTGAAGGAGTGGAAGAGAATTTCGATAGGGTTATAGCTAAAGGGTTAAAAACCTGGGTTTTTTTGGTCATAAGTCACCTTTGTACTCTATGGAGGATTTTGGTAACCTTATTGACTTCCTGGTTGACATGTAAATATCTTTTGTACATGGGTTGACATGTAAATATCTTTTGTACATGGGTTGACACCCTCTTAGTGCCTGTGATTAATGATACATACTAGGTTTTTTATTTAAAAAGAAGAGACATCATATGAATAGGAATGATGGCTAATGTGCTTTTTATTACGCTGGCTAGTCTACTGTTTTATGATATGGAATTATGGATCAGCAGTTCAACTTTCGTAGATTAAATATTTCTTGAACTTCAGTTTTAAGTAGGCTTTTTTGCGACTGAATTGTGTGCATGCAGGGACTGGGGCAGGCGCTTCATGAGGTTATATCCACAGTACACCTCTTGGGACAATCCAAAAGATCCAGATCGACCTCTTGTGATTGGATATGTATCTCCAGATTATTTTACTCATTCTGTTTCCTACTTCGTTGAAGCCCCACTCATCTTTCATGACCATACAAATTACAAGGTGGTTGTTTATTCAGCAGTTGTAAAGGTATGGATAACCTTAAGAACTAATTATTTGACACGCTTGTCATCTCTTAAAAGCCCATTGTCCATTTTTAAGCATAACCTGTATTTTTCAGCTAATCTCCTCTTGTTTTCTTTTAAGTGGTTGTGTTCTGACACATTAGTTCTATCTAACCTTAAGGCAATTTGTTTGTTGTGCATAAAAAAGGATCCTGTTTTTGATAGTTGTGAGATTTATTGGTTCTACTGTATTTGTGCTTGCATGGGTACATTTTGACAAAGCTAAAAAATCTTCACATCTTTATTTCATTTGGAAAACATACTCCAGAGGAAAAAAATAATTTGCCAAAGATAAAGTAGGCAAAGGTAATGCAGTTTCATTTTTGATAAATAAAACTATTTACATTCTCATGATTGAGTCTTGCCAACCATGATCTTTTATTGCACTTTTCCTATTTTTCTCTCTCTTTCTATTTTCCATTCATTTGTACTACATCTGTTGTACTTCGTTCACTTAGACTGATATATGCCACCCATAATTTTCTGATATC